AACATAGCAACAACATAAACAGTGTTTCACACTTAATTGATCATTGGAAATAGTTATCACAACGTGAAGTCAAAGAAAGTCCTAGACGATTATGTCACATTTACCCTGTAGTGCCACGGAAACACTGTTTAAGAACCTTGTTGCTGGATAATCTACCGGAAGTGTCCGTCATTACCGATGCATGCAACATTGGTGGAGGCGGTTACTCCCGGAACGATTGGTTTTATGTGAATTGGGAATGTGACTTCCCTGACATGGCCCCCATGCATATACACTATAAGGAAAGGATGGCGGTGATAGCTGGAATATGTCGATGGTGCTATAACTTGCAAAACAAACGCGTTATTATATTTTCGGACAAAACGTTTACGGACCCTGCAAATATAACGGTATCGTTATGCATGCTTTAAGGCCCATGTTTGGGCTTTCGATTATGTTCAACTTTCACCTTTCAGCAAGATATGTTAGAAGTGACCTTAATACTGTAACCGATAAAATTTCTCGGTTACACGAATTCGCTCCTGATGAAAGTGTTATATCTATTTCGGATTATCATATGCACATATCCGCTAAAACTCTTCCTTTTCTTTTGCAGAATCAAGTCCAAACCTTGTAAATTGGCTTGATTCCAGAGTGGATATCCTTTGAAGAAATATATTCTCTAAATCACCTTAAATCATATCTACATTTATTGTTCACTGATTGATATTGAACCCGTTCCAATTAGGTTAAACGACCTAATCCGTTATATTGCGTACCTATCCGAAAGGTTGTATTTCTCGTCCATTAGACAGTAGTGTATATCATAAGGTTGTTGCACGTGGAGGCTAATTTAAAGAATCCCCCTAGATAACTGGCACGTAAGCCCACTTCTGCAAGGCACAAGGCGTACGCTAGGGGACGTTAAGCAGCCCAAACTGCCTATTACTCCCAAAATCTTGCTTGCTATTTTAAATCTTACTTCTCCTTTTGATCGTGCCTTCTGGGCGGCTTGTCTAGTAGCATTTTCTCATTTTTTCCGGAAATCAAACATCTTTGTTTCCGACTAACCCTTCAATTCTGAGAATGTACACCTACTGCGTTCTGATTTTAGTTTTAGCGATACCAATATCGCGCATTCCCAATTCTCCCCTGTATTTCGTAGAAGCCTGCAAACTGGCATAAGAAGTGAATAGTGTTCCCATAACGGTCTCATGAATTATTCCAAATTTATTAACGTCAAAACGGCGTTGTCCATTGCAAGATATCCAGCCAGGGAGTATTCACGTCATAGCTTTAGACGTGGCTGGGCGACGTTCGCCTTTCAGCTGTAATATTTCGGTAGATCTAATAACCAGCGGCTGCCAGGCAGGATACGCCCACATTTTCGAGAGATGGATAGAGAACAAGCTAAAAAGAAAGTGATTTTTCCTACAATCAAGGGCCATAATTCAGGAAATTACAATTCGATATGCACAAATATCGAAAGGAACCGAGATCTTTGTGTATAAACTTACATTTCAAGTTTCAACAAAATCGGATAAAAATTGTGACCTCTATAGGGTCCACATCCTTGATCTACCATATTTTTACGCTATTTGAGAACGAACAGCGGCCATTTTGTCTGTCAATTTAGGGTCGATTTATTCGAAATTCGAACTCAGCCATCCTTAGGGTGTAACGGTGATATAATAATAATACATTTTTTTAAATCGGGTAAAAATTATGACCTCTATAGGGCCCACAAACTAATAACGCGATTTTCGTACAATCAGGGGCCATAATTCAGGAAGTTACGGTTCGATATGCGCGAATATTGACAGGAACCGAGATCTTTGAGTTATAAACTGACATTTCAAGTTTCAACAAAATCGGATAAAAATTGTGACCTCAATAGGGTCCACAAGCTAAAAACGCGATTTTTCGTACAGTCAGGGGCCATAATTCAGGAAGTTACGGTCCGATATGCGCGAATATCGAAAATAACCGAGTTCTTTGGGTTATAAACTTACATTCGAAGTTTCAACAAAATCGGATTAAAATTGTGACCTCTATAGGGTCGAAAACCTTGATATACCATATTTTTTACGCTATTTTCGAACGAAGGGCGGCCATTTTGTTTGCAGTTTTGGGTCGATTTTCACGAAATTCGAACTCAGCCATCCTTAGGGTGTAACGGGGATATATTAATACGTTTTTTTAAATCGGATAAAAATTTTGACATCTATAGGTCCACAAGCTAAAAACGCGATTTTTCGTACAATCAGGGGCCATAATTCAGGAAGTTACGGTCCGAATATCGAAAGGAACCGAGATCTTTGGGTTATAAACTTACATTTCAAGTTTCAACAAAATCGGATAAAAATTGTGACCTCTACAGTGTTCACAAGCTAAAGACGTGATTTTTCGTACAATCAGGGGCCATAATCCATGAAGTTACAGTTCGATACATGCCAATATCGAAAGGAACCGAGATCTTAGGGTGATAAACCTATATTTCAATTTCATTGAAATCGGATAAAAATTGTGACCTGTAGACTGTTCACAAACAATTGTGGACGGACGCACGAACGGACGGACAGGGGCGACGACAATATACGTCCACATGAAAATGTGGGCGTATAAAAATGCAGGGCGACTGAAGGAGTAACGCTTGCCAACGCTATTTGGATCCTTTCTTTAACATGAGATCGCAGGTAGCTACTTAGTTGGGCAACCAGGTTAGAACCGCTTGTTGAAAGAAAAAGAAATAAAAAATGGCGTGGGCGTTTCTGGGAACATTGTTTGTAAGATTACCCCTCTTTTAACAATTGATTTTATGTTTTAAATATTGAGAAAATTTTATCCCCGAGTCGTTATCAATCTATTTTTATTTGCTAATTTTTAAATTAAAGTCTTATAACGCCCAACCAGTCTTCTGTCTTATTCTTATTTGAGAGAGAGAGAGAGAGAAATGGGGTTTAACGTCCACTCGACACAAACTAGGTCATTTCGGGACTAATTCTTATTTGAGGGAATAGCAATTAATATGTAGGAAACTATAGTAGGCTATTTGTTAAAATGGTTTAAGTACAGTATACATATAAATTCTACAAAAAAACTATAGAAAGCTCATCCGTTATATTTTTCTCTACAAAATATGTACAAAAATTTTTTTTTTTTACAGAAAACTATATATTTACCACCAATTCTATAGCAAAACCAATGAATCTAAAGGTTTATTTTTTTTCCAATGGTTTCTTACAGTATTCTATAGAATTCTATAGGAAATTACACTTGAAAAAAAAACTCATCTACCAATCCTACACAAATCTATAGTAAATGTTTCTGAATCTATAGTCATGTGAAAAAACCTACAAAATGAATTCGTTTTCCTGTAGCATTCTATAGAATCCCACAAACTTCTATAGCAAACAATACTTCTTTTATAGGACTTTTTTTTATAAGGGTTGGTATGCTACTCCGAATAGACGCATTGCATAAAACTTGCCAAATGTTTTTATTGTATATTTGTGACCATATCTCCAACTTTACCTGAGCAATAAGGCTCCTTCCCAAACACAGATTTGAACCCAGGAAATGTTCTCAAAAAAGCAACCTAACTTTGTGTTCTCCATGATCTTCATGTAACTCATGCTGCACGTGCTGTTCACCGGAACCAGCCATATAAATGCATCCCCATACCTGGTTGAATCATTCACACTACAACGCCAGCAGCATGCCACGACTCACGACACCTCAGAGGAACCAGACGCTCGCCACACTGCCCAAGCCGTTGCCATTCACTTCCAGGTCAATGTTCGGACCATCTATAGGCTTCAGCAACGGTTTCGGACCACCAACACCATGGATGATCGCGCCCGAACTGGTAGACCAAGGTTACCACAAGGCGACAAGGCCGCCATGCTGTACGACAACACGTGCAGAATCCCTTCACACAGGCATATGAGACAGCACGTCAGACAGTGGGGACACACGGAAGACCCATCAGTACCGAAACAGTGCGCCGACGTCTCACCAGAGAGAACATCCATTGCCATAGGCCTTGCCGTGGACGGATACTCACCCCTCGTCATCGACGTGAACGTCTACAGTTTGCCCAACAATACTAGCGACACAGGCAATGGAGAACTGTTCTGTTCACAGATGAGAGTCGGTATTGCGTATCAACTGCAGATGGCAGGACCAGAATATGACTTCGACGTGACCAACGTTATTCTGACCAATGTGTCATGAGACGAGACTCATGGGGAGGGCCAAGCATAATGGTTTGGGGTGGAATCGGCCTGAACCAGAGAGTGGGTCCTGTGGTGTTCCAAAATCTTGGTCCAGGGAGAGGAGGCGGCATCACAGCAGTGCGCTACATCGATCAAGCTCTCAGACCACACGTCATACCAAATTTCGACGTCATCAAAACGTTTCCCAGCATAACAACGCCCGTGCCCACACTGCCAGAGTTACTCGGGACTTTCTACAGCAGAACGGTGTTAACCCCGATGGAACATCTTTGGGATGAAATTCAGAGGAGACTTAATAACGTCGTACCGAGACCAAATACAGCCGATGGATTGAGAGAGTGTGGCTCCAGGTGTCAATGGCGTTCATCGTGTACAGACGCTGCGCTGCTGTTATTGACACTCGCGGTGAACACACCAGATACTGTTCATCCTGGTCCACTTCATGTACAGACGCTGCGCTGCTGTTATTGACACTCGCGTTGAACACACTTGATACTGAGGTATAGACTGTGTACAGACTTTAAATCTTCTCGTAATGTCTTAGAATTGTGCTTAATTACTCACTAATGTGTCAACATACTGTTCACAAAAAATTGCTTTAATCCATTTAGGAAGTCGTTTTCTAGAATGATTTGATTAAAGTGCCTCTTGAAATCATACTGAGTTTTTTGTTTTGCTGTTTAGGTATTATTCAATACCGGTACATATAAATGTATCAACAGTTACCATGGAGATTGTATTGATTGATTGAGTCAGTATATACATTCCATTTCAGTGATTGACGTCTGAGTTTACATATTTTACAGGTAAGCTGGCTTCATATATTTCAACGTTTTATCTTCTCCTCTTCCCACAACTTATCCGTAAGTAAACCTTGGCACCAAGGCTTGGAGACGACATGAACTCCTTAGTGAGTTGGGGGGGGGCACGGTGGTTAAGTGGGTAAGACGCAGGATCGCAAGCCTGGCGGTCTCGTGGTCGATCCCTGCATTGACCGAGATACTGTAACACTATATCTTAGTGGTAACAGATATCAGTTTAGTAAATATATGATTTATTTACATCGAAACAGAATATAACACAACTACATCAATACTGCGGAAACTAAACTACGACAGGAACATATCAGGACGGTACATAACTATATTATATCCACCATTCCGTCCCTCTGCCAAGGCAGCGGCTGAACTCGGGTGATTCCATTCACTCATCCAACCCTCTCGTCTCCTCCCCGTAGGTCTCAGGTCGTCTCGTATCTGCTTCTCTCCTCGTCTGTCTAACTGTCAGCAAACTTCTAGTTAAATACCCTCCGACAATAGATAAAGGCTCATGATCATACATGCAATTGTCTCTTTATCACGTCATGGCATGCTTACTGACCAGTGCATATTCCTTTGAAGTAAAGCGGAGCGTGTGCACAGATCATATGTAGTTTGTAAATGACATATGGGATTAATTACATGTTTAATTAGATCATAGCCAATTCGTGTTTTAACAGAAGTATATAAAGAGTTGAAAAGTCAATATAATATATTATCAAAAGCAGTTTAGGTCAATAAGTTTTATGCACCTAAATGATCGTTCAATTTGATGAAAGTTATAGAGTACTTTGTCACAAAAGTTCATCGAGATTTTCCGGCGTGGTCCCCCCTTCTCAGTGATGCAGGACGGAGGGCCTGACGAGGACAGCTGTCTAGTCGTTCGGATGGTACGAAAAACCGAGGTCCCGTGGCAAATTGGCGTGCACGTAAAATATCCCTTGACAGTTAGAATTCGATATGATTTTGAAGCACGATAATTCTAATTATCGCGATAAATTTACTCCAGACGATAATTCATGATATCGCGATAATTTATTTTACCAATATCGTGAGATATTTCGATATTTTAGACTTTTGGCAAGCAGAATTCTTTCCATCCGTATCACGTATCCGTATTGTCACGTGATACGTGGCATCAATGTAGTTTTAGAGTTTTGGCAGATTTTTGCACCGCGTACGTATGAGTAACTGAGCTGAGCTCAAGTTCTATTATAGCATGATGGCAGTTATCTACCAAGATTCACCATCAGTACTATATAGTCAAGGGCCTAGCCTACAAATTCCTGGAGGAAGTAAAGTGGTTCGACAGTCGATGAGCTATTAAAAAATTAATGTCGTATGTTATTAAAAATCACTAATCATCTAATGTATCGGAATGTTTATACCCCTTTACCATAGAATCACATCATTTACAGATTTGCAAGGTGAACTCCCTAAATTTAGAACTTAGATCAACCAGCATGCACACAGACAGACAGGAAAAATTTGAAAATTCCGAGAAGCACTCATCAAAACTAATGATTAAATTCCAGTGATTGTCATTGTAAATATCGCATCAAACACATACCTTAGTGTTCTAGAATACACTTAGATTCATAAAAACGCTATGGCACAACAAAAGTAGCAAAACGGACGGCAAAAAGACGAAGATGTTATACGAACCTTTTCCGTATGAAAGCTGTTCGATACGAACTGCCGTACCCGTGTGTCGTATTACGTGTGAGAAATACACACACATTGTTGACGTCACCCGCAAAATATATACGGATACACGATACGGATCAGGAATTTGCGCTTGCCAAACGTCTCTAGTGATTATTGTCACGTACACCTGTTGTCATAGATTGTATGATTTAAAGATACATTATGGGAGATTAGAAAAGTTTACCCTTCGCTTTCCTCTGGTAAAACTCGCGGTCATTAATCAGGGTGAATTGGTGCCTTAGCTCCGCCCCTAGTGGCTCTGATTGGCAGGATTTGTTAAAATGAAATGCTGCCGATTTCAAAATGGCCGGCGAGTTTTACCAGTGGCAAACGAAGGCTAAAGTTATCTCTGGGATGGAGATTGATTTTTCAGTTGTTAAGTACCCAAATTTATAGCAACACGTGACTAACTTATAAACAAACTTGTCAGTTATCTTTATACCATTGCGTAAAGTGGCTGATTAATCAAATCATTTACATTTTAATTGCAGTTTTGTAAGCTAAAGAAAATGTTCCGTAAGTGGAAGGTGGGTGTTATAGAGAAATTTGTCACATTTACAAAGGTACACAACTCTAGATATAAGATTGGAATAAGACCACTTTTGTTTTAAATTGAACGGAAACCGTGATGTAAGTAGAGAAAGTTCGCCGTGATTTTCCAGTCGGACGACGACACGGTCTAGTCGTTCGGATGGAGCGACAAAGGTTCCGTGTACATGTTGGCGTGCACGTAAAGGAATCCTGGACAGTTGGAACTCAATTTGGCTTATGCACGTTTTTATTAGCCCAGTCGGTGCAGAACGGTAGGACGTTAAACCCCATTTCAGTTTATTTCATTTCTTTATCGCTGTTGCTACCACACAGTCCATGAACCAGCAACACTACATCTCAGTCAAGCACCATACAGTCCATGAACCAGCAACACTACATCCCAGTCAAGCACCATATAGTCCATGAACCAGCAACGCTACATCACAGTCAAGCACCATACAGTCCATGAACAAGCAACACTACATCCCAGTCAAGCACCATCCAATTCAGGAACCGACAAGCGGCCAATTATTTCAATTGTCAAACAATCAAACAATGCCCATGTTGGCTTTAAGTGGTTGTAGAGTAGGCAGGGTATTCTTACTATTTTTTGAACACCTGGTGCCACCTGACAATATAGGTGTATTGCCCACCTGTTCATGATAGGGTTGACAAGGATTCTTACTATTTCGTGAACATGGTTAGTTTGCATCGCTAACAAATTGAAATAAAATGAACATATTTTTCTGCATGGCCTGGGATAATAACGACGGGTGTGCGTCATGCAATGTGAGAGAGAGCGAGAAATGGGGTTTAACGTCCACTCGACACAAACTAGGTCATTTCGGGACTAACATATGGTTTAATTTTATTTCAATAATTCGCTTGCGCGTAGAGATCTTTAGCAGTGGGAGGAAACCCACGAGGTTGGAGTCATGCAATGTGCTAAGGAGGTCATTTTGCTCGAACGACGGCCTTCACGCCCGTTCTTCGTCAAATTTGAACTAACATACACGGCAGAAGCTCTACTGAGCTGATTCTAGGGTAGCCCAGGAGTAAAAATGATGGACCTGTAATCTTCTCCCCCCGTTGACTTCACCATATCAGGACTCGACGCACTAATTCCCTTCCATAGACTTCACCATACCCAGTAATTCTCTCCCATAGACTTTACCATACCCAGTAATACCTCCCCATTGTCTTCACCATATCAGGCCTCAGCCCAGACATACCTTCCCTTTGACATCAACGTACCTGGTTTCGATCCAGTAATTAGAGAGAGACAGAGACAGAGAGAGACAGAGAGACAGAGAGAGAGAGATGGGTTTCACGTCTACTCGACACAAACTATCAGTCGGACGAATCCTGAGAACCTGGAGAAAACCCACGAGGTTGTACTTCTTGACAGGTACAACCGGGCAATCGAAACCACGCCAGTTGACCCAAAGATAGATCTTATGATACAGCGCACACATGCTAACCACTCGGCCATCCACCTTCCCCCAGTAATTCTCTCCCCGATGACTTCACCATTTCACCGTAATTCATGACTTTTTACTTCCTGATCCTTCCGCCACCAAATGATGAATATTCACCAAATGAAAATTCAAACACTATTTTTCGATTCCTAACCAAACATTTAGCAAAATTGCAATGCTAAAAGAGAGTGTGTGTGTGGGGGGGGGGGGGGGTAGAGCTAGTCTTAATTCTGATTGTATCTTTTTGGGTTGTCTGAAAGTAATTATATTATGAATGTCGTATTTCTGTTTTTCAGTTAAAGATCGGAATCATTTCAACCCTATCACTTATCATACTTTATATGATCTATTATAGACACGTAGCCGATAGACAGTCTGTGTCTGTGATATCATCGACGGATGAACCTTACAGGCAGCCCGTGTCTGTGATATCATCGCGGGAGGAACCTTACAATGACAGATACTTTGTCTATTCATGCAGAAAGGGAATCTCGTGTGGGGGATTGGGAGATCGACAGAAGGGTATCATGGCTGTATATTTGATGGCCAACGCCACAAACAGTAAATTCCGGATTCAAATAGAAAAACCTTGTGACGTTACCGTAGCCCTTCGACCTAAATCTTTTAACTGGACTTTCAACAAGGATGAGGTACAAAACAGATCCAGTACATATCGTTTATAAAACACATAGCTAATATAGAAACTAACATTCATAACGAGATTAGAAGTAATTGGACACGTATATTGGAAATGAATTTATAATATAGAGCCTACTGTACATTTTTTTATTTTTATTTTTATTTTTTTTTGATTTTATGCATATGATGATTTTATAAATATTTCTGTTTATAATATACTTATATGTTGTGTTGTGTAGACTATCAATATGTAATGTTGTATGTTTTTATGTTGTATCTTTTGTTTTTGTATTGTATTGTATTGTATTGTATTGTATTGTATTGTATTGTATTGTATTGTATCTTAATTTTAATAAATATTAAAAAATAAATAAATAAAAAAATAAATGAATACATATTCATTCTATTGAGTGTTTTACCATTAAAATGATGTTACTGATAACGACTGATCATATCGTTTTACATCTCAGATTGTTGCCCATGGCTTTCCTACTACTGTATACTGATTTCAATGTTTACGATTATTATTCAAGATAAAACATTCACAACTTTGGTTAATTAAAACTAGATTTTATCAGGGATATATTTACAGAAGCATACACCAATTACATCAAGACATACGTATACTTCATAAGCAGAGTCGACGCAGAAAAGTAGGGCGTTAAACATCAAGGCATACGTATACTTCACGAGCAGAGCCGGTGCAGAAAAGTAGGAAGTTAAACCCCATTACATCAAGGCATCGGTGCAGAATAGTAGGACGTTAAACTCCATTTAACCCAGGCATACCCGGATGCAACAAAGTGTCGTAAGTTTTTTGGGAGATGCTAATTGTAGGCCGGTCGGGGAGGTTCGGATGTTTCCGGAATCCAAAATGGCCGCTTTATATAAATGAAAATTTTGGGAAATACTAACCCTAATCCTAACCCTAACACTTTTTAGAAGACTGAACTTGGATCTAATTTAACGTTTACCCTCTTAAAGGGGCTAGGGTTAGGGTTCGGGTTGGTATTCCCCAAAATACTCATTTTAAAAAAGCGGCCATTTTGGGCTCCGGAAATTCCCGAACCTCCCCAGCCAGCCTACAATTAGCATCTCCCAAGTTTTTTTTATTTTATTATAATAATATGTCAGTCATAGAAAGATTTATTTAATATGTATTATACAAGACCTAAATCTGTAGAGAATGAGATAGAAATGGGGTTTAACGTCCACTCGATACAAACTAGGTCATTTTGGGACTAACATATTGTTCAATTTTATTTCCACAATTTGCCTGTGCGTAGGGGTCTTTAGCAGTGGGAGGAAACCGGAGGACCCGGAGAAGACCCACGAGGTTGAACAGGCGACCCTAGTCCTTGTCACGTACAACCGGGGAATCTAAATCGGTAGAGTACCGGTCTGCATTTTAGCTTTAAATATATGAATTATAATTAGACATTTATGCACATGCCAAGTTTAGAATCAAATCTCTAGACCATCGGATGGCCGAGGTTTAAAGAGATTATAACATCCATTGACAAATTTACCATTAACATTGATAATCGAGACTTAGTCGTGTTTGTCAAGACCCGTTGATACGATGATAAACCATCTTCAATGAAATGTTCAATATATTAAATATGACGTATCTATTTTGTTACTGATATCACAAGAACTGTCAGCTCTTTATCTAAATCTTCCATAATGCATCTTTAAAATTAAACCCTTCTGGACACGCACCTGATTATAGGGTAGACCGGAGATAGTCGGATCACCCCTTCTGGACACGCACCTGATTATAGGGTAGACCGGGGATAGTTGGATCACCCCTTCTGGACACGCACCTGATTATAGGCCAGCAATAAAATAACATTGGAATATTAAGGGGTATACTATTATTAAATATTAGCCTCTATATTAGACTGGGTAAGACGCTGGCTGGATAGCCTGGTGGTCGGGTGTTCGATCCCTGAATTGGCCGAGAAAGCTCGTCGGGATTTTCCGGCGTGGTTCCTCCTTGTCAGTGAAGCAGGACGGGGGGCCTGACAGGACAGCTGTTTAGTCGTTCGGATGGGACGAAAATCCTAGGTCCCATGTACATATTGGCGTGCATGTAAAAGATCCCTTGACAATTATAATTAGATATAAGAGTAGGCTGTAGTGCCGCTGCCCAGGTAAAATTTCCCTCATGACAGACTAACTTATAAACAAACCTGTTAAAGTTATCTCTGGGATGGAGATTTATTTTTCAGTTGTTAAGTTCCCAAATTTATAGAAATACGTGACTAACTTATAAACAAACCTGACAGTTATCTTTATACCATTGCGTAAAGTGGCTGATTAATCAAATGATTTACATTTTAATTGCAGTTTTGTAAGCTAAAGAAAATGTTCCGTAAATGGAAGGTGGGTATTATAGAGAAATTTGTAACATTTACAAAGGTACACTACTCTAGATACAAGATTGGAATAAGAACACTTTTGTTTTAAATTGAACGGAAGCCGTGATGTTAGTAGAGACAGTTCGCCGTGATTTTCCAGTCGGACGACGACACGGTCTAGTCGTTCGGATGGAGCGACAAAGGTTCCGTGTACATGTTGGCGTGCACGTAAAGGAATCCTGGACAGTTGGAATTCAATTTGGCTTATGCATGTTTTTATTAGCCCAGTCGGTGCAGAACGGCAAGACGTTAAACCCCATTTCATTTTATTTCATTTCCTTATCGCTGTTGCCACCATACAGTTCATGAACCAGCAATATATTACTAGTCTTACTTGTGATTGTATCTTTTGGGTTATCTGGAAGTAATTATATTATGAATGTCGTATTTCTGTTTTTCAGTTAAAGATCGGGATCATTTCAACCGTATCACTTATCATGCTTTATATAGTTTATTATAGACGAGTATCTGATAGGAAGCCCGTGTCTGTGATATCATCGAGGGAGGAACCTTACAATGACAGATACTTTGTCTATTCCTGCAGAAAGGGAATCTCGTGTGGGGGATGGGGAGATCGACAGAAGGGTATCATGGCTGTATATTTGATGGCCAACGCCACAAACAGTAAATTCCGGATTCAAATAGAAAAACCTTGTGACTTTACCGCAGCCCTTCGACCTAAATCTTTTAACTGGACTTTCAACAAGGATGAGGTACAAAACCGACCCAGTACATATAAGGAGTTTAGAAACCAATACGGGAGAATATTGAGAGAGAAGTTCACAAAAGCCAATTTCACAAGATATTTTTCAAAGGACGTTTCATACTTGATGATTAATAGTGAATTTAGTTATTATATCAGACAGAATAAATTATACAGCCAAAACCTTGCCTGGTTGAAACACATGAGTATGGCAGAAACGTTTGCTACAATATGGCGGGATATAATGATGTTCTGTCCGGAATTACAAAAACGGTACCAACAGTTCGTGGCAACAAAAGTGAGTGGTAAAAAATTAGTTTGTGCCCAAATACGAGTAGGTCGAAATCCCGGTAATTCGGATTTTCGGAAGGATAACCCGAGAATGTCTCCGGAACATAGTCTTAAGGTATGGGATCTGTTCCAGAAGTACAAGGACCCCGAGAAATACAAAATATTCCTGACTACTGATGACGAGGGAGTCCGATCAGATGCTAAACGACTTTTCTCTGGAATCTTCATAGAAAGCGATGGTCCTCTTGGACACGTTGATCTAGGACCGGAAACGGACAAAACGTGTGATGCGTTCAAGAAGGTGATATTGGATCAACATATTTTAAGTACATGTGATGTTCTGGTAACCAGTTGGAGTGGGATCGGGCGACATGCAGCTTATGTAAGAGGGAAAGAAACTGATTTATATTGTTTAGAAAAACACAAAGATTTACGTCCATGTAACTTTAGTAGTACTTTATTTCAACCAGGTGAGTGGTAATTCAAATTGAATGCCAAGTGAATGGATGCCATCCAAGATACGCTTACATATGCAAGAGATGGGTGGAGAACTGGGCAAATAGATAGGGATCATCGTCACATGGCCCCAATGCTGCACATCTAATGTTATAAAATCTGTGAGATCCACAGTTCTAGAAATTTTTTTTTTTTAATAATCTATGCGGGGATCACCAAGACAGATTTCGAAGGACATGTTTTGTTTTTAAAAAAATAATACATTTTTGGGACCGACTATCAAATTTCTTGCTAATTTTAGTCATTGTCGTTATACCCTACTTTATTCCCGCGTTATTCCTCCTCGAGACCGTTCGCTCGCATCATTAACATCATAGTCTAATAATTCAAACAAAATAATTTCAAATGTTTTCTCTTTTATTATTTCTATGTATGTAGGTTTTATAATATACACTTGGTTAAGTTTCAATTAATTTCTTTTTTTTTTTACACGGCAAGAAAATCACATCCTTATTTTCAATTAGCAACCATATAGTTGTTTGTTCTCGCTCCTATTACCGGGGTTGGATGGTCGAATGGTTAGCATGTGCGCGCTGTATCATAAGGCCTGTCATTGAGTCAACTGACATGGTTTCGAATCCCTGGAAGTACATGACATGTCCAACCTCGTGGGTTTTCTCTGGGTCCTCCGGTTTCCTCCGACAGCTAAAGATCCCTACGCCCAAAGCGAAATATTGAAATAAAATTGAACCATATGTTAGTACCGAAATGACCTAGTTTGTGTCGAGTGGACGTTAAACCCTAATGGCCATGTGTTCATGTTGAAGTGCACCTCATCATTGGCAGTTGGAATTCGAAAACGGGTAGGCCATACCGCCGCTGTCCTGGAAGAATTGCCCTCATATCACACTACATGGCGTATGACCGACTTCATTAGCCCAGTTGAAGTAGAACGTTAAAACCCATTTCATTTCATTTAATTAAAGATCAGTTCATTGTTTTTATTAAAATTAGTAAACACTTCCAGGCAAATTAACCCGGGTCGATAAATTTTATTTTATTTTATTTCATTTCCTAAAGCTGTCTATTTATTACATATGGCTGTTTATTTTATTACATATGGCAGTCTATTTTATAAAGACAAGGACAGTTGTCGAGTCGTTCGAATGGGACGAAAAACCGAGGTCCCGTGTACACATTGGCGTGCACGTAAAAAATCCCTTGACAGTTGGAATTCAATATAAGAGTAGGCCGTAG